CCTAGGAAAATCTTGTCCTGCCTCCTCAGTTTAGAAAATAAAATAAAAAGAATCCCAGCCCTTTTCCTCAGAGTGCATATACTTAAGAATATTTTTTAACTCTTTGCTTGGAAATATAATTAAGGTGATAAAAGGTGGCAAGGAATTATCTGGAAAATCCTCACAAAGACTTTGCTACTGCTTGGTGGTCACCTGGGAAGAGGCTGGCAAGTGTCCCAGCCACCAGGCATGGCTTGCCTCTCTCATGTCTTAAGAGAGTTGCACTCCCAGCACTGTCCCTGGTTGTTGCTCTCTATTTTTTCCATAGTTTGTATCTCCTGCCCAGAACATCCCTGGGTGAGCAAGCTGTCTGGATTACAGCTCTGCTCCTTCAGTCTGTGACAGACATGAGGAAGCACACAGATGTGTATGCTTTCTACAGTGTGCCTAAATATTTTGCTGCTTTTACTTAAGGAAAGCACAAGAGGGGATGGTTTAGTAAAAGAAAAACAACTCTGTGAATGAAGCACTTTAGCTCTGTCCCTGAGTTGATTGAGATCTAGCTTCCATGAGGAAAGCAGGGCTTTCCCGCCTCTGCTGCAGGTGCCATGTCTCAGCTGGAAGTGCTGAAATGTCCGCCAAGCCCTGGCTTCCCCTGCTTGAGCTTTAATAACTTCTGTTCTTCTGCCAGGCGATCCTTAATTAGCCATTATCAGATGACCACTGTTACATGGATGTGTTAATCTCCCCTCTGACAAGTCCATCCTTCCTAGGGAGCTAGCTCTCGGGGAGCAGGAGGCTGGAAAGTCAAGAAAAGATGAGGGATAGTGTTACGTTCACAGAGCTAATGCACACATGTACTCATGGGCAGACTGGTCTGCAATGGGTTCCCCAAGCCATCCCAGTAAGAAAGGAGGCCTGGGGACAGATAATAACAAGATAGATGATAAACCCATAGTGTGTGTCTGAGAGAGAGACAGCTGGGCTGGCAGGATTGTTTGCTTTTGAGAAAGGAATATTCATCCTTTTCTATATTGGCAGAAAAACATGTGCGCTTTCATGATAAAATTACATATTTCAGGTCCGTCAATCTTCCAGCTTCCTTTTAAAATAAGCAGCTAAGGTGGGATGTAGTGAAAAAATATGAATATGGTGGCTGGATATCCGACAAGTGTGCATGAGGTATCATCTGGCTTTATGGACCAGTACAGTTCCTGACCGTTTGATAGATTATGGTATTTTTTTATAAAATATGCATAAATATGCAAAACCGGGGTTTTCTGAGGAGTGGAAAAGATATCCATCATGGTACAGGATGAAATATGTTCCTTTGAATTAAACTTATGGCAGTAGGTTTTAAAGCAGCCAGTCCCAGTCAGGCTTAACAAGGCTTAGAGGATGTAAGCTCCCCTAGAAATATCTATAGAATTATAATGCTCTAGTTAATAAAATAGATATTTAAAATAGCATAGTCAGGTAAATTAAAAGGTCTAATTTAAGCTGGCAGGAGACAGATGAAGGAAATTCTGCCAGTGAAAAAAACTACTTTTCTTCAGAGGCTGCCTTAGGATTTTACCTTAGAGGCAAGTATTATAAACCCTAAATCCTCTCAGCCTTGACATGACAGAGTTACCTAGAAGTTTACTTACACGTGGAGACCAGATTCAAACCTTTACTTATTCAGCCTAAACTGCAATCATGCCATACGCATATTCATGCTGCACATGCACACCCGTGAAGTAGACTAAGATGCTATGAGACTTTTACTGGCATGAATCATGCGTGAGTTACTCACTCACCCCAAATAAAAGCTTAGAAACTGTATTTTTTGCAAACCATCCTGACATCACTCCTGCATGCTCAGTACCACTGCAGCAGCACTGGGCCCCTACATGGCGTCTGGAGCTTCAGGTCTGTTTTACGGGAATCTGTGTCTCATCGCTGCTGATGCCCAGTATTTCAGGCATCCTGGTTCTTTCTGTAAGGATCTGGGGAAGTGGGGAGGGAGGAGAGGAAATGAGGCAATGTGAATAAAAAGTAGCTGAAAGTAGCTTTTCTAAAGCGAAAACAGCCACAGCTTTAAAACTTATTGCCCGCGATTCTGGTCTCTTTGGAAAGACAGAATATTTACTTCTTTAGGCTGTGTGGTTCAAGCCTGTGAACCGAAGTTACTAGAAAAGCCTGTATTTACACCTGCTATCACAGAGTCATTTCAAAGGAAACAACAACAACAAAAAACCCCAAACCCCACAACCCAACAGCTCCCAAAGCCCGATGCTGGCAGCGAGGGAAGGCAGAGGACAAACCCTTCTTCGCCAGCCGCCTTCACAGCCGGGACCGGGAGCCCGGCGAGGACTGCGGGGGTTCTCCCCAGCTCACCCCAGCCGAGAGGACGGGGCACACACGGACCCCCACCGCTCCAGGGTGGCTCCGCGGCGGCGGCCTCAGGCGCGCTGCTGTCCGCGCGGTGGCGCCGTCCGCTCACGGAGACGCTCCGCGCTGGCGCAGCTCCCGCCGCTCCCCGCGCTCCGCGGACGAGCAACGGGAGCTGCGCCAGCGGCCGCCGGCGGGGAAGCGCATCGTGTTCGTCCTTGGGGAACCCTTCCCGGTCCTACACGCCCGGTACGGGACGACGACTGGGATAGCTAGCGTCCTGCTGCATCCCGAGTCCTGTCTTCCCGCGTCGGTGGCCGTTCGTACGGGAATAATTCATTCACGTTGAATTTCCTTTCTCTCCGGAAAATATTGAAACCTTAAATGACCATAATAGGAATGTAATTGTGTGGTGTGTTTTTTGTTGTTGTTTTCGAGAAATCGATTTGGGCTCAAATAACTCATCTAAGCGTGTTACACCAAACCCATTCAAATAGGAAACAGGAGAACTATATTATTGCTGCTTCCTGAACTCTCTGCTTATGATCCTAATAATTAAAATGTGCGGTAATGGCTCCTGCAGCCTGTATTTCTTTGAGTAATTCTCGGAAATGAAAGGCTGATTTTCGGCCGCTGAGGGAGGAGAGCGCGGAGATGAGCCCAGGCGCAGCGGCTGGGAGACCTCCGGTGGTCCGCGCCCGGCGCTCGCCGCCTTCCGCATTACTTGGGGAAAATAATCCCCGCGGCGGAGAAGTCCCCAGAGAAGGGATTTCCCTCCCAGTCCCTCTGGCAAATCAACTTTTTTTTCCTTTTTCCCTTTGTTTTTCTGATGGTGATCCTCTCCCCTCCCGCTCTGCCAAGCGCTGCGAGTCGCACATCTGTCCCTGCACAAGGCAGGGAGGGGAAAGAGGCGGGCCAACGCGGAGGGGGGGGGGGAAGTCGCCCCCACCACCCCTGGGCCGCGGCGGCCGCGCGTGGGACCCTCCCCGCAGTACACGCGGAGCTGTTACGGCGCTGCTGGTGTCCCCCCCCCGGGGGGGGGGCATGCATAAGGAGAACGATACTAACAATTCTTGAAAAAAGAAAAAGTAAAAGAAAAAGAGAAAAAGAAAAGAAGGGGGCGGCTAAGAAAAAAAAAGGCACTCCTATCCCCAAATCTCCGTGGAAGTGGGGGTTCCGTGCCAAGGCTGCTCCGCCTGCGCACTCAGCCCCGGGCGGCTCCGCGGGGGCCCGCGCCCAGCGGCGGACTTCGGCGCCGGCGCGGGGTGAGGTGGCCCCGCGGAGAGACGCGAAACAAAGCCGCGAGGGAGCCCACCAAGTACGGGGACCCCCACCCCGCTCCAAGCCGCCCTCCTCCACCTCCCAGTCCCTTCCCACGGCAGGCAAAACTTGACCGTGGGGAGCATCCTTTTAGGTTTGTGGGACTTTCTGTGTGTTGCTGTTTGCTTGTTGGTTTTGGGGTTGGTTGGGGTTTTTTTCCTTTTTTTTGGGGGGGGGGGGGAAGTGTGGGTTGGTGTTTATGAGAAGCTTTATGACTCCTGATAAGCTCATCTTTGAGGACGACACAGAACTGTGTTCCTTGAGGAATTGGGGTGGTGACGTCTTTTCTGATACCCGATTATTACGTGACTGGGGGAAAAAAAAAAAGGTATTTGATTCATGAATAAAAATCCGGACTCCATCACGGGGGCAACAAACAATATTGCCCGTCCTCTAAGGTAACAAGCAGGCAAATATTTACGAAGAGGGCTCTTGCTGAAGCGGGGTGTTTGCAAAGATTTTGTTGCTAATTGCTTATCAGACGGAAGGCTGTCAAGTTTGGAGCCACCGAGCAGGAAGAGAAGAAGAGGAGAAGGCTGAAGACGCTCAGTGAGGGGAGAGATCTGGGGAAGACAACATCGCACGCAGCCAGCCCGAGGCTCCCCGCCTCCGCTCCCTCCCGGGCTCGCTCGCTCTCTTCCCCCCTTCCCCTTGCGCTCTCTTCTCCGGCGACATCGCGCTCCATCCCTCTTTCTCCCTTCCCTTGCAGACTCCACTCCAGATCTGTGCTGCTACCTGCAAACTTTTTTTCCTTTATATTTTTTTTCCCTTCTCTCCTCTCTCTCTTTTTCTTTTTGGAGCGGATTACCCTAAAACTAGCAAACAACTAACTGCTGCTTTTGCGTCTTCTTCATCCCGCGGGTCCTTTGCCCATCGGAGAGGCGATGCCACGAGCGTTTTAACTCCTTTCGGACGCAACTTGGGAGACAGCTCGATTCCCCCCCTCCTACCATTTTGGGTCTTTTTTCTCCTTCCTTTTTTTTTTTTTTTTAAGACCTGCCCTTTTAGTTTCGCAGCCAAACGCTCTTAGTGCCGGGTATTTAGAGTTTAATGGTAAGGACACGAGGCGGCTCGCCAGGCCTTTCCGCAGCGCTCCCGGGGCCGGCGGGCGGGAGGGCGGCGGCGGCAGCGCTCTGTACCGGGCACCGCTCCGCGCCGCTCCGCGCCGGCACCCGGCTGCCCAGGGCGCTCGCCCCCAGGGGCCGCGCTGCCTCCCTCCCCCGCAGGCTCGGCAGGGGGCTTGGTGGGTCGTGGGGTCGTTTTTTGGTTTTGTTTTTTGGTTTTGTTTTTTTTTTTGACAGCAGTTTTCCTTTCCCTCCCGCACAGAGTGGCAATGTGTAGCAAAGCGATCCTAGCACTCCTGATCTATGGCATAATAATGCACTGCAGCGTCTACTGCTCACCTGCGGCCGGCTTTCAGTACCCGGCGCTCAGGTAGGTCCGTCCCCCGCTCTGGGGCTCCGCCGGGACTCCTTCAGGCCCCCACTGCCTCGGCTCTACTAAGGGCAGGGGAATCTTACCGGGGAGGAAAGTGGAAGGGGACGTGGGGGGGAGTCACCAAACGAACCCCCCCCTGCTGTGTGCCCACCCTCTCCGCCCCGGGATGGGAGCTGCCGGGATGGTCAGGCAGGGAGGGGGTCCCCCCCGGCTGCAGCACTGGCTTCCCCCAGGGCCGCTCCCCGGGATCCCGGCGAGGTTAACCTGCAGCCTCCTGTCCCCGGGGAGCGGGGGACCTGCTCTGCTGCGGGAGGGGGCCGAGGTCCCGGCCGCATCTCGATGGCCCAGAAGCTCCCCCCACCCCGCCTCCCCCCTGTCCTGCGCGGGCCCCGGCCGCTTTCGGTTGCCCGCAGCTCGCCCAGTGTGAAAGGCGAGGATCGCCTGTCCGGACCGGGGGGAGCGGGGCGGGGGGACGGATGCGCCGTTGGCTGCAAGCATGTGAGAGCTGTCACGGTTCGTGTAGCAGCATTGGAGTTGGCGGGGATTCAGTCTCATCCCCTGTTTACCTGTCTGTATACCACTTCCCTTCTCAAGCGGGAGAGCGGCTGACACAAGGTGGTTTGGTTTTCTGGGTCTGATCGGAGTTGTCTTGCTCGACTCCACCGCAGGCTGTTGCCCGTGCTGTCCCTTTCCACCTGGGAGCCGGGGACGTTTGGACCCCGCTGTGTTGGGGCAGGACTGGGGGACCCCCAGGGGTGTTGGCACAAGCGAGTTTCCCATGCTGGGCCGTGGCTGGGGGCGCAGGGTACCCGGTCAGGGACGGCCGCTGGTTCCACCCTCCTTGGGTGACCGGTGTTGCTTGGCTTGGGTGGAGTTTTGGGCTCGGTGCTGTTGTCCTGCCCCACCAGCGCTCGGCTCTATTCCGGGGTGCCCTGCGGGGTCACCGCCGTGCGGCTCAGCTGTGAGCGGGGGGCGATGCCGGGCGCGCAAGGCTGTCCGAGGAAGGTGTCCTTTTTGGGGCTCCGAGGTGTCCTTGCACGAACCGGGAGCCCGTCGGGGCTGGCTCAGAGCAGCCCTTTTCCCCTCCCCGGGCAGCGGGGCTGCGGGGCAGCGGGCTCAGTGGCCTGCGGGGCCATTAGCCGGCAGCAAGCTGGCTCTCTTCATTCAAGAGCCTGAATTAGCAGGAGTGAAACACTTTAGCGGCATCTATTATTAATACCTCCGCTAAAGCTCACAGACAAAAATAGCTGCCTGTAACGTACAATGACCTACATCGTACTGCAGAGAGGGAGGCAGAGAGCCGGGGGGGTGGGGATGGGGGGGGGATGGGGGGGAACAAAACTGGCGAGATCTCAAAGGGCAGAGGCACCATTCAACGAAAAACAACAACAGGCGAAGGCCCCCCGCCCCAGCCCAGGCCAACCCAGCTCCGGCCCGACGGGCGCTGCGGGGAGGAGCGGCGCCCGGCCCCCGGCGGCGGGGGCTGCCGCTCACCGCCCCGTCTCCGCCGGGGAGGCTGCTTGGCTCCCGCCCAGCCCCTGGCACACAAACGCGTGTGTGTGTGTGTGCGGCAGCCTGCACGCCTGTGTGTGCGTGCGCGCGCTCCGCTCGGGAGGCACCAGCCGTGGCTATGGCAGAGAGGGGCTCTTGCTCGGGCCGAGGCGGGGGGGGATGTTTGGGGCTTTTCTGGGAGCACGTCTGGCGGCGGGTGGTGTGTTCCCTCCCCCCGTGGTCCTGCCCCGCAGAGGAGGCGGAGGGCGGGGATGGGGAGCGGGCGGGCGCCGAGAGGGGATGGGGGCAGACGGACGGGGCTCCCGGGGCGCCCGGGTCGGCTCCGTCGGGGGGTGGTCACCGAGGCAGCCGGGAGCCGGCGGCGGGGAGAGGAGCGGAGCGCCCCGCGGAGCCCGGCTGACTCCTTCCCCTTGCTGGTCTCGTTGCCAGGCTGGGGGATGAAGTCTACGACGAGGACGCGAACACCTTGCAGGACTTCGCCTATGACCACGAGCCCCTCGGCATAGCGAATCCGTCCTCCATGATCGGCGAGATGTACACCTTGTATTACCCACCGGAAAAGAGGTGACTGCAACTCGCGGGGTGTCAGCCGTGAATTTTGACCGGAAGCAAAACGGGTCTGCCCGAGCCGATTGGGGGGGAAAATAATAATACCACCCAAGAAGGCAGCAGCAACCAAAAAAAAAAAAAAAACCAAAACCAAAAAACCCGAACCCAAACAAACGACCACGCTGCCCGGGTCCCGGTGCCCAGTTCAAAGCCTAGAAGAAAGGGAAAAGCTGCCTTACCTCCAGCAGCGCGGGGGAGGGAGCGGGGAGCCTCCAGCGCCGGGGAGGGCTAGCTATGCTCCCGCAAACGGAGCAGAAATGCCCAGCCAGCGCGGAGCCAAGCAAGTGCGGCGGGGAGGGGTCTGGGTGGGGAAGAGGGGTCCCGGGGGACGCGGGGAGATGCCGCCCTCCGCTCGCTGGCGGGGAAGGACGGCCACCGCCGCCGCCCGGGCTTCCGCACCCCGCCGCAGCCGGCTCCCGGGCCTCGCCGCTCACCCGCGGGCTCTTTCCTCCGCCCAGGCACGCCGATGGGATCTTCAACAAAGCCTACAGGAAACTGCTGGGCCAGTTATCCGCCAGGAAATATTTGCACTCCCTGATGGCCAAGCGGGTCGGGTAAGGGTTTCTGCTCGCTCTTTTCCGCGGTGGGCGTTGGTGCTGCTGGAGCGGAGGCGCTTAAAAAGGCCGCGGCTGGAGGGAACAAAGCTGCCCCGGCCGGGGCTGGGAATTTGTTGCTCCGGCAGCGGGGCGGGGGGAGTCCGGCTCCCCAAACCTCAGCCGCCTCCGGCCGCAGCTCCCAGCCCGCTCCCGGCGCAGCGTGAGCCCGGCCGTCAGCGCCGGCGCTCACGGAGGTCCGTTTGGTGTAAGACGCTCGGGTATATATGTGTGTATATGTATATTTGTATATATGTCTCTATAATTTTGTGCAACCGGCTGATTTAAAACTAGGTAACTACCGGTTTTTTTTTTGCTCCCGGTTTGCTGGGGGGAGCCGTCTGTCGGAAGCGATGACCGAGGGCTCGGCTGAAGCGGGGGTGGGAGGGGGGCTTGCTCGGCTGCAGCCCCGCGCACCCCGAGGCGCCGGGCGGGGCTCCCCCCCGCCACCGGCGGAGCGGGGGCGAGCCCGGTGCCACCCGCCGCCCTTCGGCAGAAGGTAACACGTTAATAAAGCCCCGGGGAGAACAGCTTTCCCTGCCGCAATGAATAATTCATGGCGGGGAGATATTGTCTCTCCCGCCGCCGCCGCCGCCGCCGCCACTTGCTCGCACCGCGTGGGCGCGGCCTTTGTCTCCCCGCGCATCTTCCGCGCAACGTGTTGCGCCGGGGACAGCGGCCGCCGCGGGGCTGCGCGGGGCCGGGGGGGGGGCGGAGGGGTGCGGAAGGGGGCGGAGCGGCCCCCCCTGATGCAGCTGTGCTTCTCGGTGCTTGCAGCGGTGCCAGCGGCGGCCTGGGGGACGAGTCGGAACCGCTGACCAAGCGGCACATAGACGGGATCTTCACGGACAGCTACAGCCGCTACCGGAAACAAATGGCTGTCAAGAAATACTTAGCAGCCGTCCTGGGGAAAAGGTATAAACAAAGAGTTAAAAACAAAGGACGCCGAGTAGCGTATTTGTAGCGATGAGTAACCAGCCACTCCTGTGTATACAAAGTCCTGAGAGAGAGAGAGACAGAGAGAGAGAGAGACCCAACAACAACAAAAAATCTAAACAAGAACAAAAGTAATTTCTAAACTGACTGAACAATCACCGCTCCTGTGTTATCTAAACATGTATTTATGTATGAAGTAAAGCCATTAAATGAATATTTTGATAATAATATTGTTTTTCTTTTGTACAAAGCACTAGAGAAACGCACAGATCTACTTTGTGGACCAATCATTAAGTTATATATAATATATAAATATATATATATAAAGACTACTACGAATACTAAAGAACAATTCTTCATATAAAGCCTGCACAAGAACAAGAATTTGCCTGAGCTGTTTATGTTTTTATATAAAATAAATAGAAAAAAAAGACAATCATTGTTTTGAATATTACTCCTATTTTTGTAACGGAAATTAAAAGGATAGTATTTTTATCCACGACAGGGTCAAAGACATTAATTTTCACCATTTGCTACTGTACATAGAGAAGGATGCCGTGCTCCCAGGGGATTATGAGGAAAATGATTTGGGAGGATTGGTGAAGCAGATTCTTCCCCCGGTGAGTCTCAAGGCAGGCTCTTTTGCCACTAGCCTCTCTGAAGGGGCAGCATCCCCCTTCCTCTAGATTTCGATTATTTTTTTTCTCCTGCTTTCTTTGATTCCAGTTGTATCTGTATTAGTGTCTCAAACAATGAGCTTAGAGGATAATTCTCTTGTGAAAACAACAGCTCGATCCAAATTGTGCATCTCTGTTGCCTGTTGGAGGGAGAAATAGTTAAAAAAAAACCCAAACCAAAATAACAACAACAACAAAAAATCAAAACAAAACCAAAAAAAGCCAAACCCTGACCCCCAACCCCTAAATCCGGAACCAGCAGCAAGGTTAGTAAGGACTAAGCCCCGTGCACTGCTCTTCTGGCTGGCTGGGCAGAGTTGCAGAACAAAGCGAAAGTGGAGACAGGACCCGTTTGGGAAGAGTGGGGAAGTGAGCGGGGGCGACCGGAGCCGGTACCGGAGCCGGTGCCGCAGGGTCGAGGGAAAACGAGACGATCCCACCTCCGATCCGCTACCCAACTGCCCCGGGCAGCTCGGTACTGGACCTGGATGCAAAGTACAGTGTGTTACTCTCCAGTGCTGTCCATGCTTCTCATCATGTGTAATGAGCAGGGTTCTCGCCTTTGCTTTTTTCGGTCGGAGTTGCTCTTTTCTTTGATTGTTTTTTTTTGTTTGTTTGTTTGTTTGTTTTTTTTTTCTTGTAGACCTTCCCGCCTCTCATCCTCTCTTCGCACTTTTCCGAGCTCTGTTTAACCCACCTGAGTCACCTTTTTGGGTTGTGTTCTTTTGGGGAAAAAAAAAAAAAAAAAAGATTGTGAACGCTCTCTCACTCCTTTGTTCTGTTTTATGCAAGCTCTTATTGTACGAGTTTAGGAACCCCTGTTGTAGCTACCACTAAAGAATTATGCACTACTACGAAAGTTTTTGTTCCTTGTTTATTGAGTTTGGAGGTAAAATGTATTTTTCTACATTCTGGCTTATTGCTTAGTAAAATTTATTTCATAAAACAAACTTTTGTCATAAAAGAATGTGTAGTGTTCACCTGTGGTCCGGTTTCTAACGAGATAAACCATTTTCACCTCATCTTTCTATGTACGGACTCCTATCTTACCTTCCGCCCGGGGGCTGGCCCCGTCCCTCCGCCCGGGCAGGTGGCGAAGGAGGACACGCAGGTACCTGCTTCCTTCCAGCTCACCACACAAACCTTACAGGAGTGTTTCCAAAGAAACAAACCGAGCCCCGCATTCAAGACGTCGGAAAGCAACACCACCGCCACCACCCCCCCACCTTAAAAAAAAAAAAAAAAAAGAAAAAAAGTGGCGGGTAAAAACCTCCTTCCCGGGCCGGGAATAGCCGCCGGAGAGGAGGAGCGGGAGAAGTGGGCAGAGCCCGGCGGAGCGGGCAGGCGCTGCGGATCCGCTCCGCTCCGCCGGGCCGCCTGGCCTGCCCGCGCTGTCGGCAGTGCCCGCCCGGGCTGCCGGGGCAGCTCGCGCTGCCTGCCCTGCCGCCGGCGCGGGCTGCGGGGGCGGAGGGACGCGGGGCGCAGTTTGCAGCTTTCGTGCCTTCTCTTCACCTTGTAAATCGCCACGAGTTCACGGATGGCTATTTAGTGGCCCTACGATGCTGCAACACATCGGCTTGCGTTTTAGTCGTACTTCTGTTCTTTGGCAATGGGCTGTGTTTGTGTCGGCTGTGGTATAATGACATAGGGCTCTCTTGACGTTTTATTTATGACCTTATCAGTTAGAGTTCAGTGGCTACTCGCAAGCATTTTGAAGTGATCACCTAGGTTATTATCCTTTGTATGGTTTTTTTTTTGGTTTTTTTTTTTTTTTTTTTTTTTTTTTTAAAAACCCCAAAAGCTTTACCAAAATTTGAGCAGATTTGAGATACAGTCATAGTAGGTAGATGTTAGTCTTGGAGAACTTATTTTGTGTGCAAATGAATATAAAAAAACCTTAAAGTATTATTACACACATGATATCTATAACTAGGACTTTGATAACTGTTATCTAAAGTGTGTAACATTTGTATTAATAAATTTTTGTAAACAATGCAATTTTGTCTAATGTTTGGGGGAGAGAAATCTAGAACCTAACAGTGAAAGCTGCATTTCATTTAAAATATTTTTTTAATTAGTTCATTTTTAAGCAGCGTTCTTCTAACTTTTCATGCTTGGGATATCTTTTTATTAAGTCTCCACATTTTATCATCAAATAACCTCTAACATTTTTACTGATGGTTACTCCTCTGTTCGAGTAAACTAAGCAGAACTGCTGAAGTAAAGAGCCTAGTTCCACACACACCAGCTCAATAATACTCTCTAAAATATGCAGATCGAACCAGTCGGTACCTATCGTCCATTCCTCTAACAATTCCTCTGCTTAGAAGCCGTTTATTTTAAGCAGAATCGGTATGTTTGATGAGATCTTCACCTAATCCGCTTTTAATGAACATTCTGTATGTGATAACGTGCTTCCCGGCATCACCCGGCTTGGGCAAGGGCAGCATCTTTCTTTGCATTAAAAATATACTAGGCTGTCCTAAAAAATGATACTGCAACACAATAAAGAGTTGCTTAGGTTTTACACAGTAATAGACGGCTACAATGAAAAAGCACAGGCAGTGTAGTTTGTCAGCACAAAGCAGAGGTCAGGATATCCAACCTTTAATCTTCACTTTCGTTTAGCAATAGCTGCTTATGTTTATTATTTTTATTATAGCTCAGGGACTTTACTCAAGTATGTTGGAAAGTAACAGCAATTTAGTTTAAACTAAACTCTATTTCCTTCTAAGATCATACAATTAAAAAACAAAGCACAGGAATTAAATGACAATTTCCTAACAATTTATTTTTCAAAACTCTAAGTCCAGGATTTGAAACAGACTGGTCGTATCCTCTCTGCCACGAATTCACCTCCCAGGCTAGTTTCAACAACAGCATTTTACTGACTAACTGGAAAACACTAAGAGAACTTGGAAAGCTGGTGGTGTCAGTGGTATGTGTTAGGAATTAGTGCAAAGTGAGATAAAAGTTCCAATTAAATGCAGATTGGGTCAGACAAGGATTCAAAAAAAATACCTGTTGGGGGGGAGGGGGAGAGGACAATGATTTCTAGGACTGATAGCATAAGAAAATCAAGTCACTGTTTCCCAAAGGCAGCATACTGTGAAAAACTGCTGTTAGGTTTATTCAGTAATTTTGCAGTGCTCATACATATAAACACACTATATTTTCTGCCCATCTAAACCAAAAATGTGCTTAAAAGATACAAGCTGAAGACCTTCTTGGCATTGGTAGCTAGAGGATGAAGTTGGGGATTGATCCACCTGAAAAATAAGGTCTTCTTCATCAAGTCCTGGCACTTGTCAAAGATGTGCAGAAGATGGAAATTCTGCTGTAAATGACATAGAGGTGATCATAGCCTCACTCTACTGGAATTCCTCTTTACCAAATCAAGTATGATTTCATGAAGAAGCTCAGCTCTATTCCCAGTGATTTAAACTGCCATCTGAAATGATACACTTGGAAAATGTGCAATACCGAATCTTAGAGCATGAGTTTTGTGAGGATTGCTGATCTTCTGTATGCTGCTATAAGACTAGCAGCAGGAATAGAGGAAGCTGGCTGAGGAAACAAGAATGACTAGACAAGACATGATTTTGGACCCTCGCATTGTAAAAACCTCCTGACATTCAGTCAAAGTGACAAACTCGAGTTAGTAAAGGAGGCTGAACAGAGCAGGACAGACTGCTCCAGATTCCAGCCCTCAGAAATGTGGTACAACACCGCACCTGTCACAGGGCTACGTAGGTCATCGAAAGCAGAAAAGCTTGGAAGAACCAATTTCTTTAGAGCCCTCATGTAAACCTGGCTGTGGCCAGCATCTGCCTTTCATAAGATTTGCTTGTGAGGGTGCTGACCTCCTTTCCGTGTGCCTCTGGAGCCTTTCAAGCCTTCTTCAAAAAACAAAGTTCATGTATTGGCTGTATACATTTTCACCTAGAGTTAAGGAAAACAGAAAATCAGGAGGAAATCTGATCTTTTTGGGGCTTGTTACTTGACACTTTTGCAGCTTAATTTCCAGTTCTAGGTGAAATAATTTAGTCTTTCTTCAGGAAAAACCTTGAGGGAAAACACATCCCTGACAATTTTAAGGACCTCATGCTTAGCCTCTAGAAGTACATGTCCTCTTAACTACACTTATAGATTTTTTAAGACCCAAGGGGACTCTCATGATCATCTACACTATCTTAGACAATACAGGGTATAGGATTTCATGGAGTCCTTCATTTAGCGTTTAATTTCTGAGTGAGCTATTCTGTATGACAGCATTATTGATTGCAAGACTTGCAGGAATGGCAGATTTGCTGGAGAAGTTGTTCCAACTGTGGCAGTTTAGCACTCTGTTCCTTGTTTCAGTTTGTCTCATTTTTGAGTCCAAGAGGTTTGTAGCCTGCTGAAGAATCTCCAGTGCCTGTAGGTTTTCCTCTCCATGTACGTAGTCTTAGGCAGAGATTTACTCTCCCCTATGCCTTGTCTTTGAGGTAGCAAGGTTGATCTTTAAGTGCTCATCGTGAGAGAGGTTTTCCACAGATGGCATTATTTCTG